TTTAAGAGTCAAATAAACTAAATCTGGTTCAGAAGAAGGCAATGAAAGACGATGAGTGGAATACAAAATAAGTCCTATGAGAAAGGATGAATGAACTGGGTATGTTTTGCCTGAAGGAAAGAAAACCGACAACGAAGGAAGAGTGTGATAACACACTTCAGATACTTGTTGAGCTAGCACAGGGAAGGGCTGAATGCTTTGAGAAAACAGCTCAATTCATCATGGAGCGATTCAGAGGCTGCCTACTTTGATTTGAGTCCAGATCGCAATGAAGATGTCAAAAATTTCCTTTGTTTTATTGTGTTTCATGGTGAAATCAACAAATGATCATGGCCTCCCCGCTTTATTTGTCAGAACTGGATAAATTTGAAAGACAAGAAGTATTTTCATAAAAAGGGAATTAAGTCTATCAAATATAAAGAAGTTTTTTTTTCATGTTAGGAGCGACTTAAGAAACTGCAAGTCGCTTCTGGTGTGAGAGAATTAGCCATCTGCAAGGACGTTGCCCAGGGGATGCCTGGATGATTTTTTGATATTTTAACCATCCTTGTGGGAGGCTTCTCTCATGTCCCCATATGGGGAGCTGGAGCTGATAGAGGGAGCTCATCCATGCTCTCCCTGAGTTGGTTGGCCATCTGCAAGGTTGTTGCCCAGGGGATGCCTGGGTGATTTTTTTTGATGTTTTAACCATCCTTGTGGGAAAAACCAAGGTTACAACAACATCTGTTATAGAACTCCAGTATGCTGATGACAATGTCGTCTGTGCGCATTCAGAAGAAGATCTACAAGCCACTCTAAACACCTTTGCAGAAGCATACGAGAAGCTCGGCCTGTCATTGAACATTGAGAAAACCAAGGTGCTGTTCCAGCAGTCACCAGCCAATCCTTCTCCAATGCCAGTAATACAGCTTAATGGTGTCACATTAGAAAATGTTGATCATTTCCGCTACCTTGGCAGCCACCTCTCCACCAAAGTCAACATCGACGCCGAAATACAACACCGCCTGAGCTCTGCAAGTGCAGCATTTTCCAGAATGAAGCAGAGAGTGTTTGAGGACCGGGACATCCGTAGGGAACCAAGGTGCTTGTTTATAAAGCTATTGTCCTCCCAACCCTGCTATATGCCTGTGAGACGTGGACTGTCTACAGACGTCATATGCAACTCCTGGAACGATTCCATCAGCGCTGCCTCCGGAAAATCCTGCAAATCTCTTGGGAAGACAAGCGGACAAACGTCAGCGTGCTGGAAGAAGCAAAGACCACCAGCATTGAAGCGATGGTCCTCCAACATCAACTCCGCTGGGCCGGCCACGTTGTCCGGATGCCTGACCACCGTCTCCCAAAGCAGTTGCTCTACTCCGAACTTAAGAACGGAAAACGGAACGTTGGTGGACAGGAAAAGAGATTTAAAGATGGGCTCAAAGCCAACCTTAAAAGCTCTGGCATAGACACTGAGAACTGGGAAGCCCTGGCCCTTGAGCGCTCCAGCTGGAGGTCAGCTGTGACCAGCAGTGCTGCAGAATTTGAGGAGGCACGAGTGGAGGGTGAAAGAGTGAAATGTGCCAGGAGGAAGGCGCGTCAAGCCAACCCCGACCGGGACCGCCTTCCACCTGGAAACCAATGCCCTCACTGCGGAAGAAGATGCAGAGCAAGAATAGGGCTCCACAGCCACATACGGACCCACAAGGAAATCCATAATGGAAGACCATCTTACTCGTCCAACGAGGGATCGCCTAAGTAAGTAAGTAAGTAAGTAAGTAAAGATAGGTATTGGCAGGGTGTTGTAGTTATGTCTATAGATTTTGTTAAGAGAACCACTGTCACCCATTTTATTTCTTGGTAGAACTGGATGAATATTTGGGGGGCCCAGCCAGTTGGGATTTCCTGGTTTAGCCACCCAGAGGGATGCTCTTGCTGTTGCTGGAGGAACATTCAGAGGAGTGGTGGTTCTTATAAAACTTTTCCTTGATTTAAGTCTACTGGGAGGAGGCTGATAGAAATATAGTGGGTGGCTTTCACAGTGCTCAACCTTATTTCTCTATTATTTACTTGCAAATTAAGCCTGTCTTTACCTCCTCATTATCAGTTATTAAACAAGGCATGGAAGAGACATTGGGGAGGAAGCCGCACACTGCCATATAAAATCCAGATTATCTGATTTGATTGTGAAGTGGTGCCACCTATATATAGAACTGTAAGTCGCACGATTTGAATTGTATCATGCCTGATTTTGCCTTTTTACCCTGTAAATGTATAGTTGGATTGATTGGTTATTTATAGCTGTCAATCAATGTTGTTTGCACCAGTTGAATGGCTCCTCCTGCTCAATTGTTTGACCCCACCTCTTCCTAGAGAGCAGGACAGTGTTTCCTTTTCCATCCACCATCAAACTTTCTATCAGATGGACGTGAGAGAGAGACTTGGCTCTGAAGCCCTTGATTAAGTTACCTCTCAGCACCAATTCTGAGGTTCTTACCCTTGAGACTTATGCTTCATGTTCGGACCGACCTGGACGATGTTGAGAAGTCTCAAGCGCCTTCAAACCAGTTCTTTGGCATCCGAGGAAGACTTTGTGTCTTCAAACATAGGCCATTTGGACTGGGGTTGTGGATTGCTCCGGCATTCACAGCCATAGAGAAAGAGGGACCTAGAAAATCTTCTCAGCTGCAAAACTCCTTGGACCCAAGACAACCAGAGACTGTAATGTATATTTTCTTTTACCCCTTTGAAACTTCCAGCCTATTGCCTTAAAGGGATAACCCTTTGTGAACAATAAAACCTATTTTGAGTTATCTACAGCGTTTTGGTCCTTGGGAGTTCCAGTTTCCCTAAAGGAGGGCAAGAAGCAATCCCCTGGGGAAAGATGTCACGTCCATGCCTCTTTCACTAAGAGTTATAGCCCCCAGGCGCAACAGCACACTGATAATAGCTGACATTGCCCCTCCTCCCACCCATGGGCAACTGGAAGTTGCCACTAACTGAGAGAAATAAGGTTGAACACTGTGAAAGCCATCCACTGCACAGCTATCAGCCTCTTCCCGGTAGACGCAAATCAAGGAAAAGCTTCATGAGAACCATCACTCCTCCTATTGTTCTCACAGCAACAGCAAGTGTATCCTTGTGGGCAGCTAAACCAGGAAATCCCAACTGCGTGCCCCCCCCGCCTCTTGAGGGTCTTCCTCCAGGGGCAAACCAAGAATGGTCAACTTGGAAGTCCCTGAACAGACTCAGAAGTGGAGTGGGCAGATCAAAAGGCAACCTGACAAAATGGCACTACCTGGAATCATAGAATCAAAGAATTGGAAGAGACCTCATGGGCCATCCAATCCAACCCCATTCTGCCAAGAAGCAGGAATATTGCATTCAAATCACCCCTGACAGATGGCCATCCAGCCTCTGTTAAAAGCTTCCAAAGAAGGAGCCTCCACCACACTCCAGGGCAGAGAGTTCCACTGCTGAACGGCTCTCACAGTCAGGAAGTTCTTCCTCATGTTCAGATGGAATCTCCTCTCTTGTAGTTTGTAGCCATTGTTCCACGTCCTAGTCTCCAAGGAAGCAGAAAACAAGCTTGCTCCCTCCTCCCTGTGGCTTCCTCTCACATATTTATACATGGCTATCATATCTCCTCTCAGCCTTCTCTTCTTCAGGCTAAACATGCCCAGCTCCTTAAGCCGCTCCTCATAGGGCTTGTTCTTTGATCATTTTAGTCACCCTCCTCTGGACACAATCCAGCTTGTCAATATCTCTCTTGAATTGTGGTGCCCAGAATTGGACACAATATTCCAGGTGAGGTCTAACCAAAGCGGAATAGAGGGGTAGCATTATTTCCCTAGATCTAGACACTATGCTCCTATGTGTGTGACTGTGGAGCAGAACAAACAACTCCGCATCTGTATGCTTGTCCACAGTGTCCTGCCTCATGCACAAAGAAAGAATTGTTTAAAGCTACAGACAATGCAGTCACTGTTACCCGTTTTTGGTCAAGAATTATTTAGCCACTTGTGTTTCCCCTATTTTATTAGTGTTATATTTATCCATGCAATGCTTCTGACACAAAATAAATAAATCTGATTTGAACTGGATTATATGGCAGAGTGGACTCATATAATCCAGTTCAAAACAAATAATGTGGATTATCTGCTTTGATAATCTGGATTATATAGCAGTGTGGAAGGGGTTTAAAAGTGCAATTTAAGATGGAATTTGTAACTCTGATTAAAATCATTACTATAACATCTATACTTCAATATAAATGTATTCACTTAGCCTCCAAATAATCCCCACAGCTACTATTACTTGTTAAACAGTGCAGACATTTGTGGGACATCCACTCCAGCATATGCGCAGTCCCTTTCATATTCAAGATGTGGATGAATAATTCCAAATAAGTTTCACAAATGCAAAATGTAAGTAATTCCATTGTTCATTTAGTAAGAAAAGCATTCCCGCATGTGAAAGAATAAAATGCCATTACATTCTGATGGCTTTTCTTTGGATTATGCTTCACATATAAACAAAAGACAAAATACAGTAAATAAGAATTGGACCCGCTCCCCCCCCCCAAAAAAAACACTTTCTGAAAATAAGAAACATCTGTAAAGACTAAATTCAAACTGTTCTACATTTCATCTATATCATAACATGTTCAATTTATTTGCTTTAGCTGCTTTACGATTCAGTCCCTGTTGCATATTTGAACGAGGACGGCTGAAATATTTTAAGCTTCAGCCATTATTGCATAGCTATACTGCAACTGATCAATTTGTTTCTTGCTGAAAGCAACAAACATGGAATCCAGTTTATTTTGGCTCCGTTGCAGGATTGGAATCTTTGGATATGTCTTCCTATCTGGTCCATTGCAATGGATCTTGACTTGCCAGAGGGTTTTACCAAGCTGGTTTCCTTTTGTCAGCTGGCTTCAGCAGGCAACATGGTCACAATATGGACCTGTGTCCCTGCCTTCATGTACAGTTCTGCAGTGGTTAGGGAAAAGAAAGAGGCGAGACGGTCACAAGGTTGTGGTTCAGAGGAGTCACAGGTGTCCCTCTGTCACAGATGTGGAAGGAATGATGGGAAAGCTTTGACTGAAACCCTCAAACAGTCCTACATTTTGATCCCAATGTTGTCATACAACTGTACAGCAGCCGTTGCAGCCTCCGGCACAAGGTTTCTTCTTCTTCTTGGGATGAAAGATGGTGAGAATGGCTTCATCGAAGACTGCCTTCAGGCCTTTCTGGGTCAAAGCTGAGCACTCCAAGTAGCACTGGGCTCCTATCTTGAATTACAGGGGGAGAAAAAGGACATTATAGACAGTCATCATCATCATCATCATCATCATCATCATCATCATCATCAATGGATCAATTGGTGCAATTGCTGTAAACATCCCACTTTGGAAAAGCAATACCTCTTTTGCCAATTTGATTCCATGTTCATAAGTCAGGGGCTTCTCTTTCATGTAAAGCAACCGAGCCAACGTTTTGGGATCGTCTCGAAGATCAATCTAGAAAGTAACAGACAAATATGAAGCGAAAGACTTCTTCACATAGAATCATAGAGTTGGAAGAGACCTCATGGGCCATCCAATCCAACCCCCTGCCAAGAAGCGGGAATATTGCATTCAAATCACCCCTGACAGGTGGCCATCCAGCCTCTGTTTAAAAGCTTCCAAAGAAGGAGCCTCCACCACACTCTGGGGCAGAGAGTTCCACTGTTGAACTGCTTTCACAGTCAGGAAGTTCTTCCTCATGTTTTCCCATATTTAAAAGCTTTTTAAAAGCTCAAGATGTCTTGAGACTTAAACGCAAAGTTGTTTTTGTCTCATTGGTGAGGTGGAAACAATGCCAGCCATGTGGCATGCCAAAGTCAACAGACATCTAGATGCTGATATTCTTTTCCATGTACTCTAAGAAAAAAAAATCAATTGAGAGCACTCAGGGTGTGTCTACACTATAGAATGAATGCAGCTTGACACCACTCCAACTGTAATGGTTTAATGCTATGGAATCGTCAGGGGCATCGTTTTACAATGTCTTTAGCCTTCTCTGCCTAAGAGATCTGGTGCCTCACTAAACTACAAACTCCAGGATTCAACAGCCTTGAGTCACAGCTCAAAGTGGTGTCAAACTGCATTAATTCTGGGTTGTTCTAGGTTTTTTGGGCTATATGGCCATGTTCTAGAAGCATTCTCTCCTCATGTTTCCCATTAATTCTGATGTCATAGGCTTTCATGGCTGGAATCACTGGGTTGCTGTGAATTTTCCGGGCTGTATGGCCATGTTCCAGAAGCATGCTCTCCTGACATTTTGTCCACATCTATGGCAGGCATCCTCAGAGGTTATGAGATTTGTTGGAAACTGAGTGAGGTTTATATATCTGTGGAATGTCCAGAATGGGAGAAAGAACTCCTGCCTGTTTGAGGGAGGTGTGAATGTTGCAAATGGCTACCTTGATTAGAATTGAATGGCTTGCAGCTTCAAAGCCTGGCTGCTTCCTGCCTGGGGGAATCTTTTGTTGCAACACTCCAGACATGAAACAATCAAGGCCAACTAACACCACCCAACAAAGGATTCTCCCTGGCAGGAAGCAGACCAGGAGTCAAATATTTCCCCTCCAAATTCATCCAAAATTATTGCAGAGATCTTAAAGCGAGGTTGACAAAGTTGTGACATTGAAAGTGCTGACAGTGTTGATACGCAAGCATGTTGTGGGCTTCTGGCTTGCAGACGCCTTTGGTGTCTCACCACTCCCTACATAGTTACCTGAGTTCCTATCAGAACATAAGGCACATGGGGCATGCACCCTTTCAGTTCTGGCACCCATTCCTCTTGGACATTGTGATACGAGGCAGGGTTGACCACAGAGAAACAGATCAAAAACACATCCGTGTTGGGGTAGGAGAGGGGCCTTAGTTGATTGTAGTCCTCCTGCCAAAGTGAAAAGCGTATGCGTTATGTCTTTACGGCAAACAGCAAAATGAACCACATAGAGAAAACCTAAGCCCTGGATTTTCTTGAGTATGCACCACTCACTAGCCAAAATCAGTTGAATTAATTGTGATTGTGTGTTCCTGTATGACAGAGGGTTGGGCTGGATGGCCCTTCAGCTCTCTTCCAGTTCTAGGATTCTGTGATTTTGTTGATGTAATTAAATTCTTGATAGCACTTGGAAAAGCAGCCATGACAGCCAGAAGATTCATATTCAGTTCATAGAAGAGTTGGAAGAGACCTCATGGGCCATCCAGTCTAACCCCATTCTGACAAGAAGCAGGAAAATCGCATTCAAAGCATCCCTAACAGATGGCCATCCAGTCTCTATTTTAAAAGCCTCCAAAGAAGGAGCCTCCACCACACTCCAGGGCAGAGAGTTTCATTGCTGAACATCTCTCACAGTCAGGAAGTTCTTCCGAATGTTCAGATGGAATCTCCTTTCTTGTAGTTTGAAGCCACTGTTCCGCATCCTAGAAATAGCTTTTCCCAGAAATAAACTTTGTGAAAGCAATCGGGAGCTGGATATTGTTGGAAATCTCCCTTGAATTATCTAGAACTTTATGAATAGATCCCAAATCTAGCATCTGACCATCAGATTCCAAAGCGGTTGCAAAGCATAATCTCATAAAAGGACCACCAGGTGGCAATAGATGCCTGCATAATAAGCATGATCACACAGTCGGTATGTTTGCTGTTTCTGTTTCAACTTTTTGGTTCTTTCTCAGGCCCCATCTACAGTGCCATCTCAATCCAGATTATCTGCTTTGAACCTGATTATAGGGCAGTGTAGACTCAGATATCCCATTCAAAGCAGATAATCTGAATGATCTGCTTAGATGATCTAGATTATATGACAGTGTAGAAGGGGACTCAGTTTTGGGCACTTTGCTAAGGGGATCCTTCTCCAACCTGGTGTCGTCTAGACCTGTAAGACTACCAAATGGCTGTGGACTATGGGGTGTGTTGCCAAAGGCAAGAGTCTCTTACAGAGTTTAAGAAACAGCCATGGTTTTGGGAAAGGCTTTAGCAAATGTATTATTTTAGCAGGGAAATAAAAGATCATACAATTGTGAAAGGTATAACTCCTACCAAGCACATCTGCCTCCTTGTTCTTTTGTTGGAACCCCTAGCTGGCAAATGTAGAGACACCTCAGGTAATTGGATGCACTGCAGAATTAATGCAGTTTGGCACCACTTTCATTGTCATGGCTCAATTTTTTGGAGTCCTGGAAGATGTGACTTTAAAAGACCTTTAGACCTCTTGCCAAAGGATGCTGGTGCCTCATTATTATTTACAGTACTTGTATACTGCCTTTCTCACCCCAAGGGGGACTCAAAGGGGGACTCATCAAACTACAACTCCCAGAAGTCCACAGTATTGATCCAGGATACATAAAGTGGAATCAAACTGCATACCTTCTACTGTGTAGAATTTGTATCCATTATGCACCACTCTTGTGCTTGTTCTCATTTGGCAATTCTTCAAGTTGGTTTTTTCATCACCTATTTTCCTATGCTCCTAAACTAAATCAGTTTTGTGTTGGACAGATGCACTCATCTAATTATTTAAAATATAATAATTAGATACTTCTTGTTGTGTGCCTTCAAGTCATTTCTGACTTATGGTGACCCTAAGGCAGTGTTTCTCAACCTTCCTAATGCCGCAACCCCTTAATGCAGTTCCTCATATTGTGGTGACCCCCAACCATAACATTATTTTCGTTACTACTTCTTAACTGGAATTTTGCTACTGTTGTGAATTGTAATGTAAATATCTGATATGCAGGATGTATTTTGATTCACTGGACCAAATTTGGCAAAAATGCCCGATGGGCCCAAATTTGAATACTGGTGGGGTTGTGGAGAGGGGTTGATTTTGTCATTTAGGAGTTGTAGTTGCTGGGATTTATCATTCACCTGCAATCAAAGAGCATTCTGAACTCCACCAATGATGGAATTGAACCAAACTTGGCACACATACCTCCCATGACCAACAGAAAATGCTGGAAGGGTCTGGTGGGCATTGATCTTGGTTTGGGAGTTGTAGTTCACCTACATTCAGAGAGCACTGTGGACTCAAACAATCATGGATCTGGATCAAACTTGGCATGAATACTCAATATACCCAAATGTGAACATTGGTGGAATTTGGGGAAAATAGACCTTGACATTTGGGAGTTGTTGTTGCTGGGATTTATAGTTCACCTACAATCAAAGAGCATTCTGAACTCCATCAACGAAAGAACTGGGCCAAACTTCCCACACAGAACCCCTAAGGCCAACAGAAAATATTGTTTTCTGATGGTCTTTGGAGACCCCTCTGAAACCCCCTCATGACCCCCCCCCCAGGGTCCCGACCCCCAGGTTGAGAAACACTGCCCCAAGGTGAACCTGTCATGGGGTTGTCTTGGCATGATTTGTTCAGAAGAGGTTGCCCTTGCCTTCCTCTGAGGCTGAGATCATGCAGCATTTCCAAAACTCAGTTTCCATGGTCAAGCAGGGATTCAAACTACTACATTACCTTGACTCGAAACAACTTCTGCTCCATAGATAACAGAATGAGCATCTATAGTCTTATCATGTAGGATGCGTCCTACCAGATGTCTAGTCAAGGTCTATTAGGAACAAACCACTCAGCTGTCCCGGTCATAAGCAGAGTCAGCCAAAGTGTAAAAGCCCAAAGCTGTCTGAGAGACATATGTTAAAAGATGGAGATTACAGAAAAAACTGACACAAGGCACCTAAACGCCTCTTACAGTATATTTTTCTTTCCTGTGGAGATTTCCACTAGAAGGGTTCAGTTGCTGTCAAACCCATCTAGAGGGCACCAGATTCAAGAATGTTGAAAACAAAGCTTGGACGCAACTTGTAAAATGAAGGCTCTGCGAGAATTATCTTTATGGACACATGCCGGGTAACCTTACTTGGCATTCAATGCCAACTGGACCCTGTAACATCCCAAAGGAATTGTGGAGAAATTCATACACCCTTTCAAAGAAAAATGAGACATTCAGCAATGGTGATAAAAGAAGTGGTAAATCAGCTCCAAGTGTTAATCCGGACTTTCAAGGATATGTCTAAGGTGTTGAAATATATTTATTTATTTACCATATTTGTATACCACCCTTCTCAGCCTGAAGGCGACTCAGGGCGGTTCAACAGTCGGCAACATTTGATGCCTCAGCAAGTAAAACAATAATAAAATACTGTTAAAAACACTTAGCATAAAATATAAAAATATAAAAAACCATACAAGCCATAAAAACATTGTCGTGAGCGTCTCCTTGTTAAAATCATTAACCCCAACCCTAAACTCTACTTTTACTAGATACTGGTCTGGCGCTTTAAGGGATGTGTCTTGCAACATTTGCATTGTCAGGTCTTTCCATGATTTCATATAATTATGCTGGATTAGTAAAGGCCGGCTCAAAAAGCCACGTTTTAGCCTTTCTTCGAAAAGTCATAAGGGAGGGGGCCGATCTCATATCCCTGGGAAAGGTGTTCCACAGCCAAAGGGCCACTATTGAGAAGGCCCTGTTTCTCATCCCCGCCAAATGCATCTGTGAGGAAGGTGGGACCGAGAGCAGGGCCTCCCCAGAAGATCTTAGTGTCCTAGATGGCATATCCCTGCAACTGGTGCAGCAATTTGGACAGTTTGATTAAAGTTCAGACTGAAGCTCTAAGTGGATTTTCTGCCTTACTATTTTCATGATCGCACCTCCTATGAACCAGCATGAACTCTAAGATTCTCTGGGTAAGCTCTTCTTCACTAACCATCATAAGCACGGTTGGTGAGGACGAGAAAGGAGGCCTTCTAGATGGTGGCCCCTTGGAAGAGCCTCTGGAACGCTCTTCCAAGGGAAACAAAACATGCCCCATCTCTCCCCTCTTTTGGTAAGAGCTTAAAGACTTGGTGGTTTCACCAGGCCTTTGAGAATGATTAGTACTAGCCCAGCCCCTGGACACTGCTAGAATCTGGCCTTACACCTCCCACCTATTCTCCTGGACAGTCCTCCAATAGGCCCTGGAAATGAGCAGCCACAGGCCCACTAATACTATTTCTGGTGGTCGATTATGGCACTTTACCCATTCCCCTGGCCCCCCATATCCTAATTTGCACTTTTAATGTAATTTTTGTTTTTTGGCTTTTTAAGTCCTTTCTGTTGTGTTTTTCAGTGTATTTATGAGTGAAGGTCAGTCGATGGCCTGATATATGTATTCTGTCCAAATTTGATGTCAATTTGTCTAGCGGTTTTTGAGTTATGTTAATCCCACAAACAGACATTGTGTTTTTATTTATATAGACTAGCCGTCCTCTGCCACGCATTGCTGTAGGCCAGTCTGTGTATATGTGTTTTGTGTGTGTATATATGTATATGTGTGTATATATATTTGTGTATATGTGCATATATGTAGTTTTGTGCATGCATTGCAATGTATTTTTAATTTTTTTTGGCTTTTTAAGTCCCTTCTGCTGTGTTTTTCAGTGTGTTTATGAGTGATGGTCACTTGTTGGCCTGATAGGTGTATTGTGTCCAAATTTGGTGTAAATTTGTCCAGTGGTTTTTGAGTTATGGTAATCCCACAAATGAACATTACATTTTTATTTATATGCTAGTCATCCCCTGCCACAGTTGCTGGTGCATATGTGTTGAGACACGGCGTTTTAATGTAATTTTTGTTTTTTTGGCTTTTTAAGTCCCTTCTGTTGTGTTTTTCAGTGTGTTTATGAGTGATGGTTACTCGGCCTGATAGGTGTATTGTGTCCAAATTTGGTGTCAATTCATCCAGTGGTTTTTGAGTTATGTTAAGCCCACAAACAAACATTACATTGCCAGAATCACTGAGTTGTTGTAGGTTTTTTCGGGCTATATGGCCATGTTCTAGAGGCATTTTCTCCTGACGTTTCGCCTGCATCTATGGCAAGCATCCTCAGAGGTAGTGAGGTCTGTTGGAAATAGGAAAATGGGTTTATATATCTGTGGAATGACTGGGTGGGGCAAAGAGCTCTCTGCTGAAGCTAGGTGTGAATGTTTCAGCTGACCACCTTCATTAGCATTTGAAGGCCTGGCTGAGCCTGGGAAAATGTTCTGTTGAGAGGTGTTAAGATGTGCCTGGTTGTTTCCTCTCTGCTGTTTTGCTGTTGCAATTTTAGAGCTGAAACATTCACACCTAGCTTCAGCAGAGAGCTCTTTGCCCCACCCCAGTCATTCCACAGATACATAAACCCATTTTCCTATTTCCAACAGACCTCACTACCTCTGAGGATGCTTGCCATAGATGCAGGCGAAACGTCAGGAGAAATGCCTCTAGAACATGGCCCTATAGCCCGAAAAACCTACAAGAACCTAAAGATTATATTTTTATTTATATAGATGTTGGAGAGAGACATCAGTTTCCATGGGTTGAGTTTGTACCAACTCTATTAATCTAGAATAGTTTTATGGAAAGGAAAAGGTTATATTCTTGACTCTTAAGTAAAAGCACAGTAACTTGTATGGAAAGAAATATAGTGGAAATAAACATGGAAATAAAATGGAGATATTTTACCTGTCCTGCAGTGTCATAAAGTCCAAGCAAATGCTGCTGGCCACCAACAGTTACTGTTACTGTAAAAAAAGAAAGAAAGACAAAAGTGGTAAGAGAAAAAAGGAGAGAGGAATCAAAGAAATCCCATATATACCATAAAGAAAAACATACCAAATGTTATTTTTAATTGCAAATTAATTAACCATCAGATTACATCATATTAAAAGAGGTACATTATAAAGAATTTTTTAAAATTCCATAATCATTATTATTATTATTATTATTATTATTATTATTATTATTATTATTAACTTTATTTATACCCCGCAAAATCTCCCGAAGGACTCGATGCAGCTTACAAAGGCCAAGGCACCAATAACAATAACATACACATATACAATAAAAATCATAAGCAAATAAAACATCAAGCAAAGCATTAGAACAATAAAAACAATGATGCATTTAAAACCAAGGGTCGGGCCTAGTGTAATGGACAAAATTTAAAAGTGCTAGACTTGACAAGTGATATGTAGAGGTATTTGGAGGTAGGTGCAATGTGCAAATAATCCTGAATCTCTAACAAAGTACATTTGGGACTTGATGCCAGGAGTTTCCTATCCTGGCAAGGCACACTGGAACAGCCAGGTCTTCAGACTCTTCTTAAAGACAGCCAGCGTTGAGGCTTGTCTGATGTCCTTGGGGAGAGAGTTCCAGAGTTGGGGGGCCACCACAGAGAAGGCCCTGTCCCTCGTCCCCATCAGATGCACCTGTGACGCAGGTGGGATCATGAGCAGGGCCTCTCCAGATGATCGAAGGGAACGCGTGGGTTCATATATGGAGATGTGGTCACACAGGTAGGTGGGTCCCAAACCGTTTAATCATGTTGGTTGAGGGATTCTGGAAGTTTTAGTCCACAAGGATATCTTCAAGGAGCCCAGTAAGTATATTCGTTTAGTCATTTTGGATCCCTCTAGTCCAGTGTCCTTTTGTTTTGAATTGTTATTCTGATGCTTCAGAGGAAGATCACATTGTAGCCTATAGATCATTGTGTTTCATTTTTTCCCAGGCTCTGATATTAAGGACTACATCTGTGTATTGCATTAAAACGTTGCAGTCTGGAGTGTTGCAGTTTAGCATTCGGTTCAAAATTGCAGAAGCTGAGTTGCAGATGTGGAGCCGCTGAGCATGGGGTTGTCTTCAACATTTCAGACCACACATTGATGTGTAGACATGTGATGTGAGTGTGCATTTGATTATGTGTTCACCTCCACATTTGCCATCCTGGTTCACTTGTGTAATGACTGCATAGTACAGCTAATATCGAACTTTGGAAATGTATGCTATACAAACTTAGAGGAGGATCTTGGCCACAGCCCAGACATTGAAATTAACATGAATAATATTGCCTGTGAAATTGGAATTTCATTAAACCACCATGTTTAATGGCCCCTGATTAGCCATGAGTATGAGCAATTTTTCTTACAGGCAACAAAACGAATGTTCATTATCATATCTCCATTGTGGCAGTGAGCATCGGGGATACCCAATGATTAGTCATTAGAGTTCCTGTCGTTTATTTATACGGCAGTCTCAGTGTTCTTGGAGTTTTATGAGTAACATGAAGCTGATGCATGCCTACTAGACAGATCCCTAAATATTACAGAGAGAAGAAAAACTAGGCAGAGAAGTGAAGCAGGAAAAGGTTGTGTCAGATGGAGGGAAAAGGTGGGACAGGTGAATATTTCCTTCCATTTTGTTCTAAATTTGCAAAAATTCAAAAATCACTGGATTGGTCAGGACAATGTAAAGGACTACCTACCATTGGTTAAATGGCTGGCATCCTATTTGCAGGTATGAGTCATAGTAATACACATGCAGAATATATTTTTAACAATGTGTGGTGATTGTATTCCATTGATAATGTTGTGAACAGAGTTGCACATGGACGTTCGTAGCTCTGTTAAAGTACACACTTAGATGCACTGCGTTTTCACAAGCAAAATTGCACAACAGCTGGTCAGCCATGCATATTGACCATTAATCCACATTTATTTATTTCGTATCAAAAGCATTGCATAAATTAGTATAAAACTGATAAAAATAGAAGGAGCACAAGCAGCGAAATATCTTTTGTCTGTAGCCTCAAACAATTCTTTCTCTGTACATGAGGCAGGGCATTGCGGACAAGCATACAGATGTGGAATTGGCACAAGGTGGAGGGTTCCATTTTGCCAGGTTGTCTTTTGATCTGCCCACTCCACTTCTGAGTCTGTTAAGGGACTCCCAAGTTGCCCATTCTTGGTTTGCCCCTAGAGGAAGACCCTCGCGGGGGGCCATGCAATTGGAATTGTCTGGTTTAGCTGCCAAGAGGAATACTCTTGCTGTTGCTGGGAAAATGTTAAGAGGAGTGGAGTTTCTCATGAAGATTTTCCTTGATTTGAGTCTACTGGGAGGAGGCTGATAGCCATGAAGTTTGTGGCTTTCAGAGTCTTCAATCTTATTTCTCTCACAGGTTGCAGCAACTTCCTGTCACACATCAGGGTAGGGGGTGGTGGTGGGGGTAGTGCAATGCCAACTAGTTTGTATAGTTCATCAACTGGTGTAGATTTCAGACATCCTGTGATTATTCTGCATGTTTTGTTCACTGCTATGTTCACCTGCTTCATGTGGGCAGACTTGTGCCAAACCCAAAAACATTGCTTTTAAACTTTGATCCACATTCATCCCGCTATACTAGTATTCACAACTTATTATTGTTGTGACCCTCCAAGTCATTTCCAACTTATGGTGACCCTAAGGCATGCTGCCACTGGGTTCAGGGCTTATGTAATTCAAGCTCACTCAGGATATTTATGGTACATTGGATATAGGATCTTGTGAATGGGAAAACTCTAGATGGGAGTTTGATAAAGGTTCATACACTTTGGTTGGGATTGTTTTTGGCACATTGTTCTTGCAGGACCATTCACTTTGTTGTTCCACAGGTCTTAGGACACCTTCAGGGGAGACAGAAAGCATTTCCTTTAGCAAAGTTGACCTCTGACACCAAGTAAGTTGCATCATAGTCTGCCTTTTGATATCCCATCAGTGGGCAAAGATGAGGTTCACAACCTATTGCTCTTGAGTACAAAGAGATCAAAGGAGGCTCACACAGATCAGGAATAGACCCTGCTGTGTGCACATTAGTTTTCAAAAGTCTGGAGCTGCTTAGTGCCTCTTCCCCACAGAGTATGTTTGGGTTATGTCTGGGTTGGTACCGGTGAACATTTATTTCCCTTCCTTTTCTTTCATTCCAAGAGATGACAGTTTTTAATATCTTTATCCTTGCATCAGAATCTATGGTCTTGATGTGAGAGGATGTAGAAGTAAGAACAATTGCATGGGACAGAGGAAGGGTACTGTCTTATATGTTAATGTCTTCCAACAATATATATTGTTTGTGGTCTCCTCTTCTCCCCTTGAGAGCAGTAGAGAATTAGATGAGTTCTAGTCTCTCATTCACATTCAAGTCCATATTTGATGTTGAGAGGGTGACAAAGCATCCTGGAAACATAATCCTGCACGGGCAACCCTAGTTTCAAGGTAAAAATGGATATTAAGAAAACAAAATAAGAACCACAGATGATTAACAGATCCTTGATGTAGAGGATGAAGATACTGAAACAGTGCAAAATATGGCTCGGTTATTTATTTATTTGTTGTGTCAGGGCAACCAGTCAATTATATTACATTTCTAACAGAACAAAGCAAACAAACAGGCAAAATACAAAATTTGTGAATTTGGTAGTTGATTAAATGTCCTTTGACCAGTAGCAGGACACTTGGAGTGCTTCTGGTGTTGCTGCAAGGAGGTCCTCCATGGTACATGTGGCAGGGTTTATGGTGCATTGCAGCAGATGGTCAGTGGTTTGCTCTTCTCCACACTCGCATGTCGTGGATTCCACTTTGTAGCCCCATTTCTTGAGGTTGCCTCTGCATCTTGTGGTGCCAGAGAGCAGTCTGTTCAGCGCCTTCCAAGTTGCCCAGTCCTCTGTGTGCCCAGGGGGAGTCTCTCATTTGGTATCAGCCATTGGTTGAGGTTCTGGGTTTGAGCCTGCCACTTTTGGACTCTCGCTTGCTGAGGTGTTCTAGTGAGTGTCTCTGTAGATCTTAGAAAACTATTTCTAGATTTAAGTCGTTGACGTGCTGGTTGATACCCAAACAGGGAATGAGCTGGAGATGTCTCTGCCTTGGTCCTTTCACTATTGGCTGCTACTTCCCGGCGGATGTCAGGCAGTGTAATTTCTCCAGTGGTGTAGGGTGCAGACACCCCGTGATAATGCGGCATATGGCTCGGTGATTAATCAGAATGGAGACTGCAGGCAAAAATCAGAAGTCTAGAATTTGTAAGTGTAGCTATGAAGAAACTAGACAAGATCCTGAAGTGTAAAGATATATATTGAATACTAAAATCAGATTTCTATGTATGTTGGGAAACTGGACAGTGAATCAAGCTGATAAGAAGAAAATAAACGGATTTGAGATGTGGTGCTGGAGAAGAGGTGTGTGGAAGCTCTAAAAATACAAACAAAAGAATCCAAAGTGACTAAACTGAGGACGTTATAGCATGAAGCAGCTATCTCATGACATTCAAGGATTGTGGCAATTTACTGGGGGGGTTTTTTTGCAGAGAGGGGTGCATCAGAAGTGATTTGAGAAACTGTAAGTCACTTCTGGTGTGAGAGAATTGGCTGTCCACAAGGACGTTGCCCAGGGAGACGCCCGGATATTTTACCATCCTGTGAGATGAGAAGTTGCTTCACTATTGTACCTCTGCATTCATCATGCAGTTGTGACACTTACCTGATCTGTGGTTTCAAAGCCATACTTTTTGTAAGATCCACTGGCAGTTCTGCTTCTCCATTTTTTTAAAAACCCAAACCTAAATGTATTCCAGTGGTTAGGTGACCAAAAATTTATCCATAAATTACACTGAGGGAAAGTGGGGCAGAATGGAAAAGGAGGGTAATTCCACCTCAGCATTATTTCAGTGCTGGTATATTGGCACAAACAAGATTGGCTCCACTGCACAAAGTAAATG